TGCGTATCTTTGTGTGTTCTTTTACTAAGTCAATCAGACCCATAGAAACCTGGGTTTTTTTCCCCTGTGTTTTGCTTCTACAACCATTTCTATGTACCATCCATATATTTTCTCTTAATCTGGGGAGCTGCTTTGGTAGCTTCCCCTTCCTTTTATCTTCTTTCCCTTATCTGCACTTGGAAAGGTGTTTCAGGACTCCAAGAGTGAAAGGGCATTGAATAGTACTATTGCCATCAAGTTCACCCTTCACTTGTCAGTGAAGATACGTGGCTGTGTTTCCTGTGAGGCTTGCTTTTTGCTCTGATGCTCTTAATTTTTCTCTTGTGTTGAGGCTTGGCTGTTTTACTGGAGGTACTGTTGGTCTTTGTGTCACCAATATAACTTATATTCCTCCTTTTCCTAGGCTCCTGGGAGCTGATATGAAAGGTTCAGCATAGGATCACATGTAGAGTGTTATTTAGTTAGCCTTAGAATAAAAATAACCTTTTGTTGAAATTGCATTGACCTTGCTTCTGTTGAAATGCAAGGTTTTGATCACGCATGCTTATGTACCATGGTGTTTTGTTATATTGAGGATATCATTCCGAGAAGTATGTCCTTGTCATTTGAGGATAATACTCTTGGATCATTTCCATGACTCTTGGTGGTTTGCATGCTATTGCAAAATACCTCATGTTGTTGTATCTTCTATGGTCGGTATCTTTTGCTGGATATTATTTTCCATTGCAGCCTGGTATTTTGCCATATCTTTTCTCCTTTTAAAATGTTCCCACTCTAATTATGTGCTGGGTTTTTTCTCTGGTGAATTTAGTCCCTTTAATTCTTTCATTTATGCATCTTTCTGTTTTCTGTATGCTGCTGGCATGTGAGGGCACAATTTTGTAACACACTGAAGGCCATCTCAGCTGCTGCCAAGGGCATTTCTTTCCCTCACTAGCAACATTTTTCACAGGAGTGATGGCCATTTTGCCCTCACCAGGAACCAAGGAACTAAATCAACTGAAAAATAACATTACAAAAAGAATAGCTTTCTGCTGGCGTAGCAGTCTGTGCTAGCTCATGATGGGATCGGCTGGCGGTTGGTGACGGTACAGAGAAGGGGAGGGTAATGTGTGACTGCAGCGGGGGAGCCAGGCTGCTGTTAGCCCTTCCACAGATTGGCTTAGCTAATTAGTGATGGTGGGACTCCCCCTCACCTAACTTTGCATACCTACAAGGCCGAGCTAGTCATACTGGGCAATGAATATGTACCTCCAGAGTCAATTATCTGTCCTGTTTCAGGATGAAATGAATCCCCATGCCAAGGTGCCTATCTCTGACTTGATTACACAGGGAGCTCAGGGTCATTTTCTGTGATCACCTAAACCAGAATGGTGAAATCCTACCCAAGGGTCTGCTTGTAACTTCTGCTAGCTTGAGATCTGGATCTAAGCAAAGTAGTCCTGATAGCTGGCATCAGGAGATGACTATTTGTACTCTGTCTTGTGGTTCACTTTTTGGGGTGTCATACTTGCAGCATTGGGAAGGACTGGGCAGCACTCAAGTGGCTTCGCTTTATTCTTAGAACCTCCTTTAAATGTAGCTAATGTGTGAGAAAATGGGGGCAAAAGCTGTTTCTGCTCTGTGGTGTTTGCTCTCTTCAGTGAGGAGTAGGATGCTGGGGCAACCAAAAGCAAACCTTTCTGCCATCCACTTGCGCTCTGGGATGGTGCCATCTCTCCCTCTGTCCTTTCTCTGCCACTCTTCCCTGGTCAGGCCTCTGGTTTTTCACTTTTGCTTTGTTTCTCCTGCTAGTAGTCTACATCCTATATCTCTTTTCCTGTCTTTACTCTTCCTCTAGCCTCATAAACTGCTTTGCTTAGATTTTGCCTGTCCACGTGTTTATACATGAGTCAATTGTGGGACATAAAAACAGAAAGGAGGGAAGAGAAGAACATTCATTTTGCCCCTTTTTAGTGTAGTGTCCTACTACTAGGCTTGAGCTGGCTTCTTCACCAGGCTTCTTACCTGCTTGCCTTCCATCCTTTAATGTGGCATGCCTGAGTGTAGTCCAATATCACCTACTGTGTCCATCCAGTGGGAGCAATTACTCCCCTGGGGAACTGGAGCTGTGGGTTCAAATCCTTTTAAGTTAAGGATGGTCCATAGCTGGTACTTACCTTCTGGATCAGTACTTGAGTGGCATTTCTGTTGTGCAAAAGGCATGTGCCACTGCTGACATGTCTGGGGTGATTGGATGGGGCCTTGGCAGACCTTTCTGCCTCTTCTCTGCACCTCCAAGCATGTAGCTGCGGGACTGGGACCACCCTCCCCAGGTTAAGTTTGCCTTTTAAGCTTGTCCAGTGCCCTCAAGACAGCAACTGCCAGGCCCACCTGGAAAACTTCTAAGTGCCTGGAGGGCAAGAACATGTTGGAAAGCATAAGTTAGTTGAATGGGCACTAAGTGCTTAAATACAGCACAAATATCCCAACTTCTGCAGCCAGTCCTAAGCCTCTGTGGGATGTGGAGGGCTGAAAAGCGATGCCTTAAAGCTTCAGAAATAAGATGACAAATGCATATGTAAATAATGTATTTACTCATGTAGACAAATGTACCTGGCAGCATTTTCCACTTCATTCACTGATTCTTGGTGAATCCTTGGTGGTTTAGTTCCTACAGATAGGTGTGTGGGGATAGCATCAGGTTCTCATGTGGATGCTTTATAGGAATGGGGCTGAACTGAGATAATGTAGACACAGGCTTTAGAAGAACTGATGCCTGTATTTGAACTCTGTATTTTTTTTTATTTTGGGGTGGTTGAGAATACTGAAAATTTGATCTGACATATCAAGGATGGCACCCAAAATCACAAACTATTTCTGTAAATTACAGCTGCAAATAAGGCTATGGCAGAGATCTTGTCATCTAATAGGGACTTTGATTAAAACATTGTGGGAGGAATTTTCTTTAGCATTTCTAGTTATCTCTGACAGATACACAGAAAAACATAAAATTCTACTTGTGTGTTACTCTCTACCATCTAAAAAACCATACAGAGCTATTGTGAGAGATTTGGCACTCAGGGCAAGAAATCACATGGGTCCCATCTCCCTCTTGTTACAGGTTTTGAAAATGTACCTACCCCCTTCTGGCACTATTTTCATCTCACCCTTGCTGAAGCTCTGATTTTATATTTTCAGTGCAGATGACAGTAAGTTAATTCTGACAGACTCATTGACTTCAGCAGAACTACATCAGAATTTTTTTCTCAATTTTTAAAAACATTCTTTTCGATGAAAAGTGAGGCTACTATTCCTACATATGACAAGGGCACCTACGTTGTACAGTCAGAACTAATAGTCCCTTACACCTCACAAACATCGGCTGAGGAAGTAGCTCTATTGAGCCAGAATTAAGTGTACTTTGGGGAGTAACCAATGACTTCCTATCAGTTAGGCTTTGAGGTAATGTAAGCTTCCCATCAGCTTAGACTCACTCTTTTGTCCTCTGCAGCAAACCTTGCTGTTCTTCAGCATCATCAGGACCTGAAATGTGTTATGTCTCTGCTTTATGCTACTCCATGCTCCATAGATTTCACAGAGGCTTTGTAGTCACGGCAGTTACGGTCCTCATTTTTGCAATTCTTTGGTATTAGCATTTAGGGATTTTTTTTAATCTTTCATGCCCATTGCATTAACCTTTAAATCAACATATACAATTTAACTTCAGAGCATTGCAGTGTTATGAAAATGATCACCCATTGTTTAAGCAGCTTTATCATTGATTCTGATTTTTATATTCCAGCTAAATGGTGAACTCTTGATTACTCGAGGTAATGCACAAGGGAGCTGGGAGGACAAATGTGAAAAAGCTTAGATGAAGTAAAAGCATAGCTACACAAAACATCCTAGGTTAGGATGATCAGCAAGGCTGTAATGGAGAAAGAAGAGGTCAGCGACACAGGTTTCATCTCCAGTGTGGAAGACATCTTCTCCAGGGAATGATCCTCGGGCCAAGGGGTGAAAAGCAGCTTGCCTGCACAGTGCCGGAGGCTTGTCCCTTCTGCCTCTCCTTGCTTCCCTCAGAAACATACCTGTGATCTGCACTGGGCCCTGGTGTTACCCTTCTAGCCCTGGGACTTCATAACTTTTTTGGTTTTGGCTTTTATCTGTTCAAAATGTTTGAAATAGCGTGAGGTCTGTGTCACAGCCTGACAGCCTGGCATTTCATTGCCGTGATTTTATGGGCATGCGTCGCATCTGTTAGGATGGGGCTAGGGCCTGCTGGGGCATCTGAGGATATGCAGGCTGCCAGATAGTTCTGGGAGGTGTCGGGATGTGGATGACGAGGACTTGAAAACTCCGGGGAGTGAAAACTGTTGAAAGCTGTTGATGTGTCTGTAGTGCTGACTCAGACCTGCCTGGGAAAAGCACCCACCAACTGTGGCTATGGCTCTGCAAATTTGTGTGCCTTTCTGTACCAGGAATGCACTCAATTCTGAATATAGATAATTTGGCTTATATCCCTGAGAATGAAGTATAGTTTTAAAAATAATAAAAAAATCATAATAAGAGTGAAAGCAATTTAGTAATAGTGAAATAAAAACAGCTCAAAGAGGAGTCCTGTAGGATTATACAGAGGATTACAGCCACTCTGTAGCTGTTGGCTGCCTGAGCATTAATGCCAGCAAGCATCATTTTCCTTCTGCATTTCTCAGCCATTTGAATTCAACTAGTCAGATCATCTGTGTTGTTGCTTCTAGGTCCAAAATAAGTGTGCAATAAGCCACCGGCCCTTGCAGAGCAGCCGCTGGCAGATACAGGGTCTTCATGCAAGAGGCGTTTGCTGGCTGAAGTGTGATCTCCAAGCTTTCCATCCACAGCTGGGGGGAGAGCGGGGGAGCTCAAGGAGTGCTGGGTGCCAGCTGGCCTGGCCAGTCCTGCAGCAGTTTTGAGCAAGCCTGTGGTGCCTTGGGGATCCTCCGATGACCTCTCAAGGATTTGTCACTTGAAGGCTGGCTTAATAAACCTCTTCTCTCTTGGCAACTGAGGCAGATTCCCTAAAGCTGACAGGTCTCAAAAGTTGTTTTGAAATTATTGTGCTGTTTGCATTTGAATGTTTCCATTACTAATAGGAATAGAGGCATTTTGCTAATTGTTTTTTTAAAGGAAAGGCCGTGTAAATGCTGCTTTTTCCTTGTCCTCACATTTTTTTTCACAGCTTTCAGCTTAGGCTGATTTAATGGCCGCCATTGTAAGTGCTGCAAATTTGACTCCTGACCCCTGCATAGACAGTGAGAAAATATTTATACTTTTGCAAGTGCTTAGCTTCTCTAGGCTTCTCTCTGGCATTGGTTTTACCAATGCTGAGGAGACTCCAAATACCAGGGCTAAGATAGTGTTTGAAAAAAACAGGCTGGTGCCTTTTTCTGAGGACCAGTTTCAGTGGGATTTAGTTTTCTAAATGCCTTTATGAATCTGAGTCTGAAAGGGCTTGAAGGTAGGTCAGAAAGGCAAGGAATTTTCCAGGATTTTAAAATGAAAGGTACTGCTGTAGCACATATCTGGAGATCAAATGCTTATTTCAATCATATAACACAATTTTAGCTGCAGAAGAGAAGGTTCCTTTTTGAAGCAGAAAAGGTAGAGAAAGTGATATCCAAAGTGCTTTTGGTTTGATTTCTACTACTACTGTGTCCCTTTATGGCAGCTGCAGACTCTATAAAGTATTTAATTTGCAACCTCTTCCGAGATTTCTTCTGTTAGTGGCTCTTCTGAGACCAAGGTAATTTCCCGAGTATTCATATAGGTCCAGGTGTTGTGACCTGACTGACACTAGGAAGCTCCATTTTCTAGACAGTCCATTTTCTCTGCAAGTTGAGCTATCATGAAGTAGGATGAGGTGTATCCCCTGTGTCTCTGAGGCTTGTAAGCCCTGCAGCAGCAGCAGGCAGTGGGGAATGTGATGAAGCTTTGTTGGAGGTTTTGTTTTTCCCAGAAAATCCTTCATGTCTGGCTGCTGAGCAGAGCCACCAAGCAGCCCTGACAGTTCTCGTCTCATCTCTGAGCTGTGTAGGAGTTTGCAAAGGCAGATTAATATTTAACGTACCTGGAAGCTTTGAACTTTCAGTTGTAGTCTGGATACATCTAAAACCTCATAAAATGCAACCAGAGGAGGTGATGCTGCCTTTTTATTCACTAATGCAGAGACTGGAGCACCCTCCTAATTTCAATTCCTTCTTCTGTCTCAGGCCATTTAACTCCCCTCTCTGACTCATCTGTCGAGAATCCTTATCACTGGCCTGCTGGATGCTCATGCTGAAACCGCCTAATTTCCAGGCTTTCAGCTGTGTATCTGAACCACTTGGCTTGAAAGCCTCTTTGTCTTATCTTCTTCTGGATCCTGAAGTGCCCCCCCTACAAAGAAGAGGTGGGATGCCCTTCCCAGGCTGTCCTGCAGGCTGGTGGCTGGGTGCTCTCCTGGGCTGTGCGGTGGGAGCTGCAGGCAAAGGCAGGCAGGACTTGAGTGCCCTGTTTGCTCAGCCCACAGAGCACCCATGTGGCTGTCATCCAGGGTGGTCCAACTCCCTGTCCCTCAGAGGTGGCCACTGCTGAGGGTTAAACACCTACATTAAACGTTAAATGTCTGGAAGAGACTTCCAGGCATGAGTCTCTGCCATGTCCTCCTGGCTGGCTGAGGCAGCAACTCGCTGCTTTCCCACATAGAGAGTGTTGGTCCCTAACTTGGCATTGTGAAGCCTGTTCTTGCCATGGACCCTCTCACTTTCCGTTCTACAAGCACTGACTATTCAAGTGCCAAGACTGGCCCTAAAAGCCTTTGAAGGGAAGATCTGGAGAAACACTGTTCTCTGCAACCTTTCCTCTTGGCTAGTTTTTGTTGCTCCCTCTTTTGCTTGCTGACTGTTGTGAATCAAGAACTTGGCAAAAAGAGGCAGCACCATCCATTGCAGATACTGTGAGCTCCTCTAGGCCACAAAGTACACCAAGATGCAGTGCCTTGTACGCTGGGGTTAGGAATCTCCTTTTGGGGAGGTGTGGCCAGATTCAAGGGCAGTCTGCTGCCTTCTTGCTCCATCCCTTAAGTTTTGGTATCTGTTCCACCAGCTCATTCTCACCCTGAAGCTCCTTATTATCCTGTCTCTGCTGAAGGGCAGTTATGCCATCAGGCCATCCCCCAGATAACAGATCCACCCTCCTAGACCCCCAGCATGTTGAGACACACAGACCCATGTACTGGCCCCACACCTGTGCCTAATCCTACTTGGCCTATTTTTGAAGAGAATCAGGGAGTGGAGAGTAATATAGCCCAATCTTCTTGCTCTAGATATGAAATGCACATGTCTGTATTGTGGCTATAAAAGATGATATACAGGTGCTTTCTCTTGAAACCCTGATATGACTTTCAGCTTGTGTGTGTAGTACAGAACCTTGGTGAAAGAAGGACTGGAAAAACATATCAGAAGTACATAAATAACACTTTTGTCAAAGTGTCAGACCCCCTAAATATCGGCTTTTGATGGTCCTTTCACACAAACTCAATTTCTGTACTGTTGTTTTCTGAGAGACCTCTTCACAGCTGAATACCAGGCAAGCCATTTCACTTGTAGGCTTAAACAAGGGTATGTTTCAGAGGTGAATCTTTTCAGGATTTATTGAAGACTGAAGTAACTTCATTGCACGGTATAGTGGAATACTATCTGCCTTCCACCCTCAATGAGTTACATGAGGGCTATTGTATCAGACAATTTGCTGGGCACAATTTCAGTGCTCAGGTGGATGCGAAGTGAAATTTCAGGCCTTTAGGTTGGTCTTATTGTCTACTGAATTGCCTCTTTAGAGCAGTATATACTCTTTTTAAGTGGCAACTTAGTACTAACATCTTTCAGTGCAAGCCCATGTACTGTATTTTCTCCTTTGACCTTTCCAGATCCCTGCCTCCAATGAGAAATCGTGAACACAGAATTGCTTATTATTAGCATTGCTTAATCTCCTACTTCTTCACTAAATTTCTTCTGAGCTTTTATCTTACCCTGTCTAACACTAAAACAAGCTGCTGAATGCGCTGCTGCATGTTTCATGTATGTCTGTGGAACATACAACCTGCTTGGAGGACCTGCACACCTTCTTCTCATGCTGTGTGGCTTATGGCATGCAAAAATATATTGTATTTGTAGTAGGATGCTGCATATGTTCAGAAACTGTTGAAAGTCTTTGGAATTCTTATAACTGTTTATTCATTCTTTTGTTTAGGAGTCAGTGACCTGTAAGTGCTCATTATGAAGAGAGATCTGGTTTTCTTGGTGACTCTAATTAGCCTTGCCTTCCTGTCACTGCTAAGGTCTGGATATCCTCAACATATTGCAGAGGAGTCCTGCTCTGTTCAAATTCTTGTTCCAGGCCTCAAAGGTAATGTGGAAGCCTACTGCATCATTCAAATACTAATCCTTTCTTTCTAACAGGCTCATTTGCACCACTGACAGTTTCTAACAGAGACAAAGAAGGTGCCTTTGGCACCTTTGTCCTCTTATTTGTCCCATTTGTAGCCTCCTTAAAAATTACGTTTTAAGGTCCATAAGATGAACTTAAGTCTGTTAAAATAAACACGGTTCAGAGAAAGCATGCCAAAGTTTCCCAGACTTGCTCCTGATCAGTAGGGCTTGTTACTCTGATACACTGCCTGGTTGCTTTCTCTGTGTTTATACTTGGGAGTGGTGCACATACCCAAAAACCGTAAATCCAGGCCCTGCTTTGTACCTGGAGAGGTTTTCATTGCTATTTTGCAATGTAATGGGAAGTATTTTGTATTTTCTAGTCTTATGTTTGTGTTCCCTTGATTTTTTTAAATGCTTAAGTGCCTTTTAAAAGAAATAAAAAATTTAGGTTTTTAGCATTTCTATAGTTTCTGTGGACAAAAGCAACATTTTTACAAAATATGCACCCAAACTATTGCCCAAAAAAGGTGGCATAATAAATTATTGATCTGTTTGTAGAAAAAAAATATACCTTAGATAGGAAATCAGCAACTGGGAAGAATTAGCATTTTAAAGCAACAGCATCTATTATGGTGTGAAATCCCAGCCCTGTTTAGTCAGTAACAATAATCTCCATTATGGATGCTATGGTATTTCTACTGGAGTGTAACACCTGTGAGAATGGGGAAATACTTGTTAACTAAGGACAAAAAAACCCGTGAAAACTACCAGTTTATCATTAACAACAACAACAAAACCCACATTTTTTAAGAACTGCACAACTAACCTTCCAGGTTTTTACGCATTTTAGTATCACTAAACTCATCTAACAATATTGATGCCACTAATGTTATCTAGTACAAGCTTGGGCTTTACCCAGTTGCCTGAGGACCATAGTATGGACTGCAGGCGCTGTCTGTGCTGCTTAATTGATTGGTGAGTGCAAGGCCCAGTTCTGTCCTGCAGTTGTTCATAGAGTTAAATTGCAAGCACAGCCTGGCTACAGGTTTGGCTGTGGTGTAAGCTGCCCTCTCCAGACATTGCCCAGTTTGGATGTGGCTGCCCTGTGCTTGGAAGCAAGAGAATTGGGCTGTAGGGATGTGGGTTGTGCTTTGCCAATTGGCTTTAGGGCCAAAAAACTCTCCTGGTGTTTTTTTTTTTTATTGTAGATGCAGCTTTGGATGCCTGAACTGAACCAAAATCTATATTTTTTGATTTTACTTCAGTAAGTGGCCTCTGAAGTCTTAATAATATTTATACCTTCTGCAGATGTTCTAGTTAGAAAGAACAACAGTATATCCAGGCCTTCTGAGGTTTGATTAAGTCTTGAGTAAAGTTATTTCATTTGTTTGATATATTTGCTGTGAAAAAGGCATAAGATAGTGCTGTTGGTGTGATTCACAGAGAAGAACACAACCTACGTAAATATATGTTGTCTAAAGTTACATGGAAGATTGGTCAAAGGGTCAGACTCCACAGCACTGGGGACTGAAGCTTTGAAATGATTTTTCATTTCAAAGAAGTTGATAGGCTTTGACAAGTTTTGCAACTTCTTTGCCTTAGTTTTCTTATTTATGTAATCAGTCAAAATTAACATCTGCAATTACCATTTTTATGTGAGGACCATTATTATTATTATTATATGCAGCAGTGTTTTTTAAAACATATAAACAGTGCAGGACCCTGGCCCTTTGTCAGAAGGCAATACTGAGCCAGGAAACAACAGAGAAGCCTGAAAACCGTCATGTGTTAATGATTTCACTCTACTTCATGAGATGTAAGCCTTGCAAAAGTGAGAGAGATTGATGTACAAATTCAGTGAAGCACAAAATGGCCTGATACAGCCCTAGTTAATGTGAAATCCCTAAAAAGCGATCAATGCTCCAGCTACGCTGTTAGGGGGACTGCTCAGAGAATTGGTAATGAGATACTGCTGTCCCCCACTGGCACAACTCCAACCCATTTCAGTGGCCAAGGCTCCCTTTAAACTGAACATACACGTGGCCACGTGCCCAAATTTCGGCTCCCACACAGTTGGATTGGCTCACTGCGGCTTTTAGATCTGCCCCATCTCCTCCTCTGCTGGGCTGCTGGCAACATCTCCAATGATGGAGGAGCAGAGCCCTACACTGTTACTGTGCACGAGCCTGTCGGAATTTGGGAAAAATAGGTACAGGGAAGAAGGGGAAGAAATGAGGGAGACCATGGGATGTGTGAAAGGGAAAAAATAGGAGGAGAGGGTTAAGCCTAAGAAGTGGTGCAGAAAGTGGAGCCCAAATGGGGTGGTGAAGGAGAAAAGCACCAGGGAAAAGTACCCAAGGGTGTGGGAGCGTAATGGAGAAATGTTAGAAGAACAGGAAGAGATAAAGGGAAAAGAGAAAAGAAGGGCACAAAGAATGAGACTGATTGGAGAGACTGGAAACTAAAAAAAAAAAAAAGAAAAAGAAAAAAAAACCAAGAAAATGACAGAAAGCCAATTAGGACCCCACAAAATAAAAGGGAGAATCGGAAGCAGGATGAGATGAGAATGAAGGTGGAAATGAAAGATGAAGAAAGCTAGTAAAGATACCAAGAATAGAAAAAGGCACAAATGAGTTTAAGGTCAGCCACATAGGTCTTAGGGACTGATTTTCTTTTTTTTCTTTTTATAACCTCAACAGTATAAAAGAGTAAGATGAAATGTGGAAGGGAAAAATACAGTGGCTCTGAGAATCCAGACAGCAGACTGATCCCTGTTTTAGAAAGACAACAATATTAATAATGGGAAAAGTGTGTTGTGTGTGAAGAAGGGATAGATGATGAAGCCTCACTATATTGCTCACTCGTATTTTTGCCTAAAGTTTGGTTCCTTTTGATAGGCACATGAGATTGAAGTGACTACTATTGTGGAGAAAAAAATAACATGGAACAATCCTTCAAAGCTTAAATTCTGTTTGCCACCTTGTTTTGTCTCCCTTCTAGAATCTAAAGCAGGAATTGTCTTAGTAGTCTCAATGGCATACGATCCATACACTAGTTAATGCTATGTAAATAAAATAAAACCAATTTTTTTACGCCCACACTTGATGTGTCTACTCACACAGGGAGTACAAGTAATGGAAGAACATTATCACCAGCCAAGGAATGATTGATAGCTCATGTAGTTAATATTTGGTGTGCTATTTTCATTATGGTAGATGGTACAGCTCAAGGTAGGCAGGATGCAAACATAGAGACAAATTCTGTCCCAAAGAATTCAGAAAAGGAGGCAAATCGACAGCAATGATAAGATATATCATCTGAATTATGAAAGATCTCTCTCAGTGATGATGAGGGAAGCAGCCTGTAGCAATGTCAGGGTTGTGCCCGATACCTGTGATCCTGCTGTACCTCAGTTCGGTACCAGGGCTAAATTTCTTTTGGAGGTGTGGAGCATCACAATGCTGTGGAGCACTGCTTGCCCCAGCCGCGTGGGCAAGAGCTGCACTGTGCTGAGGAAGAAGGTACCCTTCCATGCAGTAAGGCTGGAGCAGAGAGCCATCCGGGAAGGGATGGAGAGGAGACGGAGCAGGAGGTATGACTGCAAAGAGACGCCAGAGCAGCTGGGTAGGGACCACAGTGCACTGATCCCAACCTCCTGCTCTGAAGTGTCTGGGTGTAACGTGCAGCACAGGGGCTGGAGACCAGAAGGGGGGTGCAGAGGTGTCTTTCTCTTAGTTCATTTGTTTGGTTTTTTCCTAATTCAGGAATCAAAAGTTAAAAGTTAGTGTTAATTGGTGATAAATTAAATTGATTGAAATTCCTTGACAGAAAACTGTTTTCTTGCCCATGACACCTGCACAGTCTTTGCTTCCTCAGCTTGCACAATGCTCAGGGCACGTACAGCAAAAGTAGGGACTTAAATACAGCAAAGCTGAACTGGACCACTGATCAGTCTCTCTTGGCCAAGGTCTTGCTGCTTAAAACAGCTGATAACAAAAAATGCAGAGTGGTCTGTAGCTGGGCCTGTAATGGGGTAATCTCCTCCCAGGGAATGTTTCTCAAACACCCCCACTAAGGAATGCAGTGTCATCTTATTACAGGAATAAATGCAGGCAAGTGTAATGGCCTGAAGCAAGAGTGATCTATTTTACTGATCCCTAATGCACAGCTTTCACTCTGAAGAACGGGTAAAGCAATAGGCTGTAATAGCCTGCTCTCAGCCTCCAGAGAGCAGGGAAAAGTCATTGTCAGGATTTATCTTTGGGAAGCAAAGAACTCATAACCAGCCCTGAGGAGTGAAAGGCAATCATACAAAGCCTACTGGTTACCTGATAATAAAAATGTGACGTTTGCAAATGTGCCAAATAATAGCCTGTTTCATACTAACAATATTATTCACTGGGGATTATGTGAAGTTTGTCCTCATTAAGGTCAGAGAATGGCCTATTTTTGCATGTCTGAAGGCAGGGAAGGTGGTCTGGAGTCTGCTGGCAGCCTGAAGAAGGAAAATATAACAGATGGAGGGGTGAGTTCAGCTCACAGCCACCTATGTCTACAATAAGGAGAGAGAGCTGGCGGCTGCATATTTGAAACGTGCCATGTTGTGGCTTGTTTTTACATGTAATCTCTATGGTCTCTCTCTGAACCACAGCTGCCAGCTATGCAAGAGAGCAGAGCTTGAGGAGTACATGGTAACTGTTGACTTTCCTGCTATGGTGTTCTCTTCAGCTTCCTGGAGAGCAGCTAATGCTCACTCTCCTCTGTAGAAATACAGCACTGGAGCATCAGGTGTGCTGTGCTAGCTCTGGCTTTTAGATCCTGGTGTTTTCTTTTCTGTGGAAGCCATAGAACTTTCTTCTCCTTCGTATAAATCTTTTTTGTAAAGGTGGCTATGTAAATCGTTCTTTAAACTTCTATTTGTTTAATAGATTTTAATTTTATGTCTATGGCAAACTATAAGAGTAGTACACTAGTAGGGGGGAAACAAGCTAAGCATCCCTAAATTTCCAATGAAAGGCACAAGGGAGGCAAACGTTTACAGAAACTGATGTTTAAATATGCTGAATAAAATAATGTGCCATGAGCCGTGTGTAAGTAAGTACAATGCACAGTGGTTCATACCACAGAAATTAAAAGGCACTGTATATAAATGAGAATATGGATTAGGAGGTACTCTTTCATGCTTAAAAATAATGCTCTAAATGACAGATGTAGCAATGCTTTCCTATTGGCCTCCGTAAATTGGATAAACTTTTTTCTTTTTCTTTTTTAATTTGAGATTATAGTTTAAGCCATTTTCACTTGAGACTTAAGCATGTCCTTAGCAGATACTCAGGAAGTGTTTAGTGAACACAGGCCCAGAAGTTTATGTGCTAAATTGGGGCCTAATTCTGAAGCTTCTACTTAAGTGAATTGTGCTGTTGGGCTTTTTGGAGGTTGATGATATGAGTAACATCCACAAAACTAGACCTATTGTATGAGACTTCAGTAATATATGTCTATGTCAACTGCAGGAAACTCTATTCTCCACACATCAAGTAAAGCTGTTAAGTCAGATTGCATCTGCTTTTATTTTTTCCTCTCTTGTTACAGTAGGTTTTTATTTTCATTGGGGAGAATGGCACTCTTGTCACTGCCACCAACGGAAAATAGTCCTGGTTTAATGTGATTCTTCTTGTTTCCTTTTGTATCAACAGGAGAGGCTGGAGAAAAGGGGGAGAAAGGTGCTCCAGGTCGTCCAGGCAGAGTTGGGCCTCCAGGAGAGAAAGGTAACTTTGTTAAAGAAGATGTTTTGAAAGTCATTCCTCACCAAATGCTGCCTTTTCTTGTGAGGCGATGATGATGGGGCTCCTCTCTCCTTTTGCTGGGTGACTAAATCATCCTTGGGCATTTTCCTGTACCTTTGTTGTGGTTTAACCCCAGCCGGCAACTAAGGCCCACCCAGCCACTCGCTCACTCCCCGCTGGTGGGAGGGGGGACAACTGGAAGGGTAAGAGTGAGAAAACTTGTGAGTTGAGGTAAAGACAGTTTAATAGGTGAAGCAAAAGCCACACACGCAAGTGAAGCAAACCCAGGAATTCATTCACCACTTCCCATGGGCAGGCAGGTGTTCAGCCATCTCCAGGAAAGCAGGGCTCCATCACATGTAACCGTTACTTGGGAAGACAAACACCATCACTCCAAATGTCCCCCCTTCCTTCTTCCCCCAGCTTTACATGCTGAGCATGACGTCATATGGTGTGGGATATCCCTTGGGACAGTCGGGGGCAGCTGTCCCGGCTGTGTCCCCTCCCAACTCCTTGTGCCCCCCCAGCCTCCTCACTTGTGGGGTGGGGTGAGAAGCAGAAAAGCCCTTGGCGCTGTGTGAGCACTCCTCAGCAATAATGAAAATATCCCTGTGTTTTCAACACTGTTTTGGTCACAAATCGAAAATATAACACCCTACCAGCTACTATGAAGAAAATTAACTCTATCCTAGCCAAAACCAGTACAACTGTGTGCACTCATTGGTAGACTGACTATTGCTTTCTGGTAAAAAAGGTTCATTTTGGAAAAAAAATAATTCCTGCTTTTGAAAAAGGTCTCTGTGAAGAAAGGCATCGTAATGTCTTCTTCATAATTTGCCTTCTGCAAATGAAGACCTCACATTAGATCAGAGAGAAAAATCATGAGGCTCAGTTTTCTTGTTTCCTTTTGTTTGTAAATGTGAACACTCACAATACTTCAATTAAAGCCATGAAGGCAATAAGCCATAATAGGCAGAAATGGTAATGAATGATTCCACATTTTTTGGATCACAGTTCAGTAATATTTATCAAAAGATGATGGCAGCACTGTTTGCATTGTAGTTCAAAAATATTTGGAGCTCTTGAGAGGAATCGTGCTCAATAGTATTCAGTTATACAGCTGAGAGAAACGTGACATTTCTGTCTTGCAGGAAATTCTGTCTTCACATTTGTTTTTCTCCTGAAGCAAGGAGGAAATTTGACCTTCATAAGTTTTCCAGGAGATGCACATTCTGAAAAATTCACATTTGGAGTAGTCAAAACCTTTTATTTCAATATTGAAATTAAACATGTGACACTCTTGTCATCAGAATGATGGAGTGAGTTAGTTTTTACTGAACTGAATTTACAAGCTTACATTCAAAGCAATCACAGTGGTAATTTATACTTCCTTATGATGATGCGTGATCTGTTATGTAGTTCTTTTGGGCAATTACAGGAGTCTGATACCTGCAGTTTTCTCTGGGACCAAAATCCATAGCTAAAGCTCTTCCCCCTACAATGCATTGAAAAATGTATACCTCCCATGAGGGGGGTGTGTGTTCAGTCAGTGTATTTCCCTTATGGAGATGTACCTTTCAAGGACGACTCTTAGAAAAAACTACCGGAGACTGAAATTTCAACTCTTGCAAGGTAATGCAGCATGAAGAGAAGTTAAAGTACCCCAGAATAATATAGGTTAAAAGGTCATAAAGAGCTCATCTAGTCCAATCTCCTGCTCAGAACATGGCAGACTTCAACTTTGATGAGGTTGCTCAGGGTCTTGTCCTGTAGACTTTTGAAAATCTCCGAGGATGGAGATTCCACATCCTTTTTTATCTGTCTGTTCATCAGTGTCATCATGAAAGGCCTTTTCCTTAGGGCCAACTGAAATTTTTCTTGTAACTTGCGATTGTTGCCTCTTGTCCTTTCGCTGTGTGTCTCTGAGAAGAGAAGGCTGCATCTTCTCTACAAACCACTTGTAGGTAGTGGACAACTGCAATTAGGTCCCCCCTTATGTTTCTCTACTCTATGCTAAATAAAACCATCTTCCTCAGCTGGACTCCAGTTTGCTTCTCTTGTATGAGGCCCCAAAATTCCCTGTGTCCTTTTAGGCAAAGGAGTTTTTTAGCTAGCCATTGGTCAGCCTTCATCAATGCATCGCAGGTGAGGAGCTTAGCATCTCTCTGAACTCATGATATTCCTGTCAATACATTCCTGCAGCTTGTTGAGCTCCTCCTGTCCAGCAGCGCTGCCCTCCAGTGCACCAACCACTCCTGCCAGCATGGGGTTTCTTGCAGACTCACAGAGGATCCTTCCACTTCTTCCTCCCTGGCACTGCTGGACTGGTTCCAGAGGAATGGCACTCATTATCAGCTGCTGATTAGACTTTGGCAGCCTTGCAACAGCATCAGCACCCTTGAATGCCTTCTGGCCAGTGCCATAGACCAGTGTACATCCAGGTGAAGTGGTCCCTAACTCAATCATCCTCTACCATGAGTAGCATGTCCTCCCCAGATCCTTGCTACCAGACATGAAGAACTGGGAGGTCATAGAGCAGACCTTGCCAGTAGAGACCAAGGCAAAGAAAGCACTAAGTACCTTAGCCTTTTCTGTGTTCTTTGTCACCAGGTTGCCTTCCTCCTGAGCAGATTGCCCATGTTATCCTTGGTCTCTTTTTTGCTGCTGCCTTACGTGTACTGTCTTTCATGTTGTCCTTCATACACCTAGCCGAGGTGAACTTTGGCCTTCCTGACTTCATCCCTGCATGCCTGGGGAATACTTCTATATTACTCTTTGGTAGTCTGTCCTGGTATCCACTTCCTGTATGGTTCCTTTCTGCATTTGGTCTCAGTCAACAGTTCCCTGTTCAGCCAGCCGGCCTTCTGCCATATCTGCTTATTTTCCTGCACACTGCAATGGATAGTTCTTGTGCTTTAAGGATATTAATGTTCCTTAAGACTTAGAAGCTTTTTCTGGCCCCCTTTGCACTTCATAGCAGCCTCCAGTAGGATCCTGCCTATGAGTTCCCAGAACAAGCCCAAGTCCAGAAGTCCAGGGCTTTTATCCTGCTGCTTGCCCTCCTCACTTTCCTCAGAATCTTGAAAGCTGTCATCTCATGAAGGCAGTCATGGTCACTGCAGCCAAGGCTGCTGTTGACCGTCATATCCACAACCAGAGGCTATGTGAATAACAAGTCTAGGAGACTACCAGCTGTAGCTAGAAACCAGTACCTGCATTAGGTAACTGTCCCTGTGGCACTTTCTGGACTGATTGCTTCTTATGGTGTTACTCTCCCAGAAGATGCTGAAGTAGCTAGCCTCCAATTATGGAGCTTCTTACAGTTAAAAGAACTCTTCACATCCAATCCTGCTTCTTGACAAGACTGTAATGAATACCCACCATGATGTTCCCCTTGCTGACCTCCACTCTAAATCTGACTTACATGCTTTCAACAGACCATACATTCAAGGTGCCCACTGTGCAGAGCATAACCCTTGGTGTGTCTTCCCTGCCTGTCCCTCCTAAAGACCCAATATCCATCCACTGCAGCACTCCTGTTGTTCTGGCTCTCCCATCGTACCTGCATGACTGATGTCATTAAATGGACTCTCAGTTCCTTCTGGTTTTTTCTCAGGCTGTGATCATTTTTGTACAAGTGTTTGAGATGGGCACTTGGTCATACTGCTTTCTCCTGGGGAGCTTGAGAGCCCCTCCCATTGTGCTGTATTGCATGTTTCTCTAGCTTGGCATTTTGTCAAATCAATTCAAAATGTTTTGGACCATCTCAGAAGTACTCTTTTTCAGTGAGGCCAATGCATAATGTAACATTTCATTTATGTACTTCATACTGCAAAACTGCATTTATTTGGAAAATCATTCTCATGAAGAATGCTTTATTAACTCTAATATTAATGATAATTTTCCAGTTTTCCATACCTCCAAAAGTCCAAAATTCTGATGAGACTGAAAGAAGAAACATTGAAGTGAAAATTCACTGCAAGAAAACATACTTGAAAAGGAAGAGAGGTGAAAGAAAATTGAATATTAATGCATACTATATCGGTATTTTTCCAGGCAGTGCTTTCAGGTTAAACACAGGCAGAATTTCTTACTGCTTCTGTAGCAACATATTTTTTCTGCTTTCCTTTGTGCATCCAGATTTGACTTGACACGTGTATGTTCTTGGAATATTTGGTAAACAGATTTATTTTAGCCTAGTAAGAAATTTCTACAAACAAGCTCATGTTTAAAATGAATTCTAATTAACTAATCTTTTCATTAATGCTGTACATTTTGTAGATATTTGTCTTCATCAACTCCTTTCCACAAATGTTTCTTCAAAGAAAAAGGAATGGTTACCTTAAAAACAATTTGGACAATATGGAGCAAGATTTCATCATGGTACCATATCCCATGTATTTTCTGAGTGTCATAGTGTTGACTGGATAAGCAAACACACTTCACAGATGTCATTTCTACTGTATGTAGAGGACACAGAAGGATATCCAGCCTTGACCTAGAAAAACCTTTCAGTCTCCTGACCTTTTAGTCTCTGGTTAACCTTCACAGTGTGTAGTGCCCAAACCTGAAGCTAAGCTTATGCATAAATACTTTTCTAGACTCTCAAGCTGAATAAGAGTGACTCAACTGTATACTCTCTTAGAGCAGTCCAAGGGTTTGTCTGTTATCCAGAAGCTGGAACTTTGAGGCAAAAGTAAAATGTAACAATATTCTTGGGAAAAATTATGTGAGCCGCTAACACTGAAATATTGAACACATTGATATCTGTTTCATATTTAGTTGTTCCTCTTATTTATGGCAGGGTAAGAACTGAGCATCATTTGGAGGTTGATAATTTGTTCACGATATTGTTCTCACAAATAACCAGTTCATGACCTTTTGCCTGGACAGATTATCTAATATCCATTCATGACCTGCTATTGGCTTTGCTTTTTTGCTCTGTTTTTGATGTCTTGATAGGCATACACCACTGATGTCCT